TGCAAAAGGCAGCTTTACTTGAAACAGCTTACATCCTGCGATGATACCTTTAACACCATTAAACAACAGCATCTGCCTATCCCAGGTCCTTGGAAAGGACTTGTTAGGTGGATAAAAATGCCAAATCACTAAAACTTTCTGCATCCCCTAACAGTGTTACCAAAACTGAAAGAAGTGTGTAACAGAATCTATCTATGAAGTCGTGGAGCGCTGCCCTATCACCATGGTGCACTATTAATAATTGGCTGGCTAGCAAGATCATCATAGGCCTGGGCAAGTATTTCACCATCAGCAAAATGAGGGAATATATAATATATATAAAACCCATAATTACAACTGAAAAAGATCAAGCCAAGATTAAAAGTTTTTAAATCCTATTAGTTTAAGTGGAAATTAAGTAAGTACATACTGAACACTGTTACTGAAATCAATTAAGTTTAGAACCTATATGTGTCAAAGATGATGTCTACCTTCTTCCCCACCATTTCCCCAGAATAAGCCCCAATCTATTCTATTCAGTGGGTTTCCCCTTATTGTACACATACAAGGGATTCCCCTGTGCATGGAAGATATAAAGAGCAAATAGCAGGAACCCATGTCTAGGACAAGGAATTGGACATCTTAAACTATGAATCTAGCAGCATTGTGAAACTGTAAACAAATCTCCAGCCCCCCAGTTGCATACCCCCAGCACACTATGGTCAGGCAGCCAAAATGTAGCCTCAAAATGTTTGATGGCAATTAAGGGTAGGCAGGTCTCTGAGGGAGGAAAGCCCCTCATCCTTGCCCAGGATCCAGAGCCAAACAACATTAACCTTGGCATTAAAAACTGGCAGCATGAGTCTGGGATTTTGTTTTCTTTTTCTACGGTTTTAAGGGTGGGGTGGAAGTTGTTTCTCTCCTAGAGGCCTTCTGTTCCCATTATCACTCTTCAACTCCATGCAAAATATGACCCCCCAAATATTCAGCCCTGCTTCTTCTTCTGCACAGTTGCCTGTACTATAGTTCTGGGATTAAGAAAGAAAGGATTAAGGGATAGAGCGCAATGATCCACCTACTTTCTAAAATTCCTAGCTATAAGACAGTTGTGATAATGGATAGAAACACTTTTTCAAATATACTAAGACTATTTCTCACCTATTGATATGTTTCCAAATCCAAGAGTAATTAACCTTTCCTTGTGTTCATTAAGTTGATGCTTTGATTCAGCTAATATACCATTTGTCCACAAAAGCAAATTTGTAAATACTGAATGGATTACTCCAAACCTAAAAAATAAGCAATGCAAATGCATTATATTATACACATAATTTTCCATGAATTAAATCCTGATGGATACAACACTAAATGTTCTTATGTAGCTACGTAAGTGCAATATACCAATATACCTCTACCCAAAAGAAGCATTCCATTAAAAGAACAGGCTGGGGAAGCCATGCAGAGCTTGGCGTCTGGAATTCTTTCCAGCACCTTCAGCAGTGGTGAATGGCATCTTCTATCACTCAGAAGCAGCAGCCAAGCTTCTTGCTTCTGGACTAGAAGGAGTCATAGACCACCCACTCTTCCAGCAGAGAGAAAAGAGCCAGAGAATGAATGAGAGGCTTTTTCTCAGACCTGCTGCCTCAGAGGGGCTGGGTCCTGCAAACCCATACCTATAGGGGAACCTACAGCCCCGTAAGCCAGATCCCTTGAAGTTCGTCAGTGAAAATGGAACAGGAAATATAGATAGAGGGAGGGAGGGAGGGAGGGAGGGAGCAAAGCTCTCCAAACACCAGACAACGTATACTGCTATATTATTTTTTAGTATATCTTTCTCCTACACCATTAAATTAACCGAAGACTGCAGTGATCTATCAGTATGCCAGAGTTAAATTTTCACGAGAAAAGGATGTTACCTGGTGAGCATCTGCTTAGAAAAAGGTCTGTGGCAATAGTACTGTACTGAATATGCAAAAATTACAAGGGTATTTTAGCATCCAAGAAAAAAAATTGTGAAAGACCATCAGAAATGCTGTGAGAGTATTCAAAAACAATTAGGATTGCAGGTATAGATGGTCCAACCGGAGATAAGTTGAAATATGGATGTGGTTTGCTCATGCAAGTGGCTGTGCAATCTTTTTAACGTCTACGTGAAGACTGACTGACAACTGAAGGGAAAGGTAAAAAGAACAAAACCAAGAATTACTGAAGGATGAGTTGAAGACGTGTGGAAGAGTTTGGATTACAAGCATCTGAGAAGTGACAATGGGCAAAATTTGGGGAATGTAATGTGGCTTTATGGTAGGAGGAGATGTGCAGATGAGGTGTTCCTCATGGAAACAGGTCATGAAATAATTTATGACTGTAAGTTTGTTCATTTTTAAAAAGTGTATGATAAAATTAAGAGGCTTGAAGAATGTTTTGTGCAAGTATGGATTTGAAAGTTGGTTGCAGAATGTGATACGAGTAATATTTGACAGATATGAAACATGTGAGAATAAATAAAATGCTTAGCAAATGAGTCAACAGTGAGCAGGGAATAAGATGATATGTGATGTTCTTTTAGTGGTTTAATGTATATATGGATATGTGTATAAGGAATACATGATATTCATGATGCACTGCTTCAGGACATGAATGTACATGTAGTTTTGTATACAGATGATGTGTTGTTGGGTGAGCAATCCATAATGTGCAGCAAATGTTGGACAGATTGTATGATCCAATGAAGAGTAGGGACATGAAAATTAATGTAACCTAGTCTAAAGTAGTTGCCAGGGCTAATAGAACAAACAAGTGTAAAATATGAAAACCTGGAGCAAGTAGATGAATTTTTGTAGCTTGGCCAAATATTTACTAAGGATGAGAAAATGGAAAGAGAAAATTTAAGATATGCAAATGACAACAGAAAGGTACTGGGTGTATGTGGTCAGTTGTGAAGAACAAGTGTCAAAAAAACCCCTAAAAGGACAGACTTCTGTTCAGTTTGTAATAAGGAAGTAAGAAATGAGCATGTCAGGAGAAACATAAAAGTTAAGTTGGATAGGAATGAGGTACAGTTTATGCCCGAACAAGAAGAGACAGTTTAAAGAATGAATGTGGATTGAATTTTTAAAAAGTGAGCAACTAGTGCAAAAGAAGTACATGTATGCGAATTTTGTCCATATAAGGACTGACTCATAAATCAAATATATAAAGGAAGAATGAATGGATAGATAGGAAGATAAAGACCAAGAAAGTCATGGTTGGATGCAGTTGATGAAATCTTGAGAAAGTGAAAGGTAAAAAGGAACAAAAGGCAGTGTATAAGGTAGGGCCTGGGCTTAGATGGAAGTAAGGATAGTAGAGAGAGAAAAGTGTAAATGGTATGGAGACATAATGAAGGGTACCAGCACAAGGGTACCAGTGTAATTAAGGGTACCAGAGAGACATAATGAAGTTTCCATTTCTTTTTCTTACCTCATCTCTCCAATTTCTCTAGCTTACTACTTCTAGCTCCTTTTCTGCACCCTGCATTCATAGGAAATGTATGCTATGGGCATGTGTGTATGCATGAAAAGGAAAGAAGGAAGACTGTATATATGAACATTTCTAGATGGACAGACCTTTGCTCGACAATGAATTATGATTTGATCTGGACAATTTTTAGGAGGTCTAGTAGCAACAACTGCTGCACAAAAGAGGCCTGACCACGAGCACAGCTTACATTGGCAGAATGCATTCTTGGGACTTAGGAGGCAGTTTTCAATATGATCTTACATTCTGCTGCTTTAGAACCTATCCTGTGGATGTTTGGAAAAGTGGTTGGCACTACTACATTTCCCATTTGGCCTGTTAGTCAAAAGAAACTCATCTCCTCATGAAGTTGTAAGTACAACCCAAAACTCAAAAGGGACCTCTTTTTCACCCACACCTGTAGTAGGCTGTGAGGATATCCTTGAGGAAGAGGAGGAAGAGCTGCAGCCAAGGCAACACTCAGATAAATCTCAGCCCAAAGCAGGAATGGAAGTTGAGAAAGCGTCTCAGGCTGGACCCTCCCTAGTTCTCTTGAAGGTAAAGGCAGGGAGTGAGGAGACACATTCAGACTTGCAACAATTCTGTTGCTGTAACCCTATAATAAAAGTAGTTTATTCATGACTTTGGTGTTCAAGTCCAGTCTACCTTGAAGGGCTGACATCACCCTATCTCTGGGAATAGCACTGGACTCATTTTAACACTATATAGAGGAGCTCTATGTTCATCCTCCAAAACAAACAATGTTCTTGTTTTTAACTGCCATTTATTATTTATTTAATTTTATTTACAGGACTTATATGGCCCCCTACCTCAATGACTCTAGGCAGCTCACAACAATCCATAAATACAGTTAAACACAAAGGTAGCCTTCCCCCCAAGTGCCAGACTGAACATCCCCATAGCTCAACCCCATCCTAGCCCAATGCTTCACAGCCCTACAGAAGGCTAAAAGGGTAGGGATCCCTCTGATCACAGCGGGAAGGCTGTTCCAGGGCTGGGGTGGCCACTGAGAAGGGGCACCTCTGAGGTCCCATCAGATGGCAACATTTAAAGGAGGGGACTGAAGCACACCCACCCTATCTAACCTAGTTGGACAAGCAGATACCCTCAGGAAGAGATAGTCCCATAAGTAACCTGGCCCTGTGCTGTGTAGGGCTTTAAAGGTGATAACCAGCACCTCAAATTGCACCTGGAAAGCAACTGGAAGCCACTGCAGCTCACGTGGTAGTGGTGCTACTCAGGTGAACCACAGGGCACCCAAAACTGCATGTGCTGCTGCATTCTGGACCAGTTACAGCTTCTGGATGGTCTTCAAGGACAGCCCCATGTACAGCGTGTTGCAGTAATCCAAACAGGAGATGACTAAGGCATGAGTGACTGTGAGCAAGGCCTCCTGGTCCAGGAATGGGTGCAATTGGCTCACAAGATGGATTTGTGCAAAGCCCCCACTGGCCACAGCTACCATCTGCTCTTCCAGCAGGAGCCATGTGATGGAATGTACCTATGAAGAGGAGGGTGATGTGAGAGATCAAGGCTATCAGGAGGGAGGGGGTGCATCCCAGGAGGGGAAAGGGGACAAAAGACAACACAGTGCACAGGGGGAGTGTGGGAAGCGAAAGAGGTTCAGGATAGCTACTCCCTAGAGTCCCCCAGAGTATATCCACTAGTTGCTGTAGATTTAGTCTGGCAAGATTCTGTCTGTAAGGAGTAAGCAAATAAAGGAACTTTACTCAACTGGACTGTTTCACCATCATTCTTGGGCTGAGCCTGACAGGCTATGAGTCCAAGAGGATCCTTAAATTGCATACCAGATCTGTGCGGTGGAGTGTTACCCCATCCACAGTCAGAGATGTCAATTCTCCTGATCCTGGGGGGACAAAAACCCACAACCACTCTGTCTTGCTAAGGTTGAGTCACAGCCAGTTTCTCCCCATCTAGGCCTTTACAGACTCCGGGCACTGAGCCAGCACCTGAACAGCATCACCTGCCCCACATGGGGTACAGTTGTATAACTGGGTATCATCAGCATACTGATGATACCAAACCCCATGCCAGCAGATGATCTCTCCCAGCAGCTTCGTACAGATGTTAAAAAGGAGCAGAGAGACCACCGAACTCTGCAGCACCCCACATAGTAGGAGCTAGGGCTGGACCTCTCCTCCCCCACTAGCACTGACTGGTACCGGCTACAGAGAGAGGAGAACCACTGCAAAACTTTGCCCCCCCCCCCTCCCAATCCCCGGAGCTGCCCCAGCAAGATACCATGGTCTCAAGGGTATCAAAAGCCACTGAGAGATCCAGAAGAGCCAGGATGGACACACCACCCGCATCCTGAGCCCTCCAAAGGTCATCCACAAGTGTGACCAATGCTGTCTCAGCACTATAGTCTGGCCTGAATTCTGACTGAAAAGGGCCCAGATAATCCACTTCATCCAAGGCCCTCTGTAGCTGGGAGCTTGTGGCTTGCAGGTGGGGAAAATTGCTTTAGGACTAGCAGTAAACTTGGAGACATAACACTTTTTACAACCACACTTAATGGCAAAATGATTAAAATTAACATTGACATCAAACCATTATTTCTACTGGTTGCGTGGAATAAATAGATATACTCATAATTTCTTAGGTTTACTGATATATTCTAATTAAACATTAAAAATCACCTACACCGTATTTTTAAAAACCCACTGTAAAAGCATTGTATGCATTTTACCTCTCCAGTGTTTTGAAGGACTGGATAATATCCCTTGCATGACACCATAAAAAATATACCTGAAAACAAATATGAATAAATTATAATGGGTCCCGTGGAAAAAGTAGTGCTCAATAATATATAAAAAGAATTCAAAGAATCTAGAAGAATGTGCAAGCCATTTTCTGATTTCTTCATCTGCTCAAGTAGATAGACAGATATTCTGAGAGCCCCTCCCTTCCCAACAGGGGCCAGGTCACCCTAGAAAGGACTGCTGAACAGCTGCCATCAGATGTTGCCGTTTCCCTACCCTTACTGCCATGAAATCATTCCTAATATCTCATCAGACTCACTTTGAGTCTTCCTCCATCGGCGCTCCAGCCATCCTTTCTACTCCTGACCCATTTCCCCTTTTCCTATTCATTGATCATTCATATTTTAAGCATGAGGATAAATTTGTTCAATACAAAGAATAGGGAAATTAAATCTCTAATTTTATAAAATCCTCTGAGATTTAATTGTAGCAATTATGGCAAAACTGTGATTTCTGAATATATATTCCAAAGGAATGGACAGAAGTACCAGTTGTGTTTCAAATTAGTCAAGGTCAGTTATTCTGACATAAAATGTATGATTCACTTCCATTAAAACTAATAACAATATTTGAAGAAAAGTGTACTTCTACTTTATTTAACCGTTTAGGAATGTCATCAAAGTTATATAAAACTGTTTGCATTAAACACAATAGATTATTTTGAAAGTCTTAAAAAAAACTTTGGAAGGGCAATTTGGAAGATACACTTTCAGGGTCCAGACAAATAGCATTGTTTACTCAATGGAAACCAGAGCACGCCAACTCCACTAGATCGAACTGGCCAAGCAGATACTATGGGAGACAGGTGGGTCCCTTAAGTAACCAGGCCCTATGCCATGTAAGGCTTTATAGATGGCAACCAGCACCTTGAATCACACTCGGAAGCAAACTGGCAACCAGTGCAGCTCACAAAGCAGAGGTGCTCCATGGGCATACCGAGGCATGCCCATTACTGCCACGCTGCTGTATTCTAGCCCAACTGAAGCTTCCAGGTGGTCTTCAAGGGCAGCCCCATGTAGAACTCATTGCAGTAGTCAAGCCATGAGGTGACCAGGCCATGAATGGCTGTCTGAATGGCTCCCCAATCTAAGAAAGGGTGCAACTGGTGCACCAGAAGAAGTTAAGCAAAAGTCTTCCTGGACACAATTGCCACTTGCTCACTGAGCAAGAGCTATGAGTCCAGGAAGACCCCCAAATTTTAAAATCTTTTTCAAGAAGCCATCATTACTGCAAAAGTAATCCATAAATATTACACTTTTGAAGTTACAGTTTGTAAATTGCAAGAGTTCTAGATTACGTTGTTGGGTATGTAAACGCTTTGATAAACACACGGATACATTTTTGGTGGCAGTGCCTAATTAGTCCGTGGTTTTAATAAAAGAAATTGGGAAAATTACTCAACAAACTTTTTAAATGAATCCCAAGATTGGTTCAGTGCCCATATCTTCTAATGCATTCTAATCAATCCAGTGTAAGGAACTAATTCAGTTTCTAGTTATGAGGTTTGTTATTTCAAAGCACCGGAAGCATAAGATACATTTTAGCTGGATCAATAATAGTTAAAAGTGTGAGAAATTGCTTGGTATGAACAGTGAGCTTTGAAAAACTCTACCACAAAGGACAAATTTGGTCACCACTTACTAACTCCCTTAAGAGGTGAGACTGCTTATCTCTAATGGTTTCTGCCCACCCCCTAGATCCAGCAGAGTGGGCACACTCCAGGTCTGCTTGGGACAGCAGTGTCACCAGCGGGGCACGGAAGGGTGCCTTCTGTTATGGCCCTGCCTTATGGAACAACCCGCCCCCTGGAGATTGGGATGGCCCCAATCCTGCTGGCCTTCCAGAAAGGCACTGGGGCTGGGATATTAATGGAGCCCTGCATCTATGCATGAGATAAGGTGTTTTTTACAGTAGTTGCAATTTGTTTTTCTTAACTGACTCCTGTGTCATGTTTTTATTTTTTGTTTGTTTCCCAGAGTTCCACTGGTAGATGGCAGCTATATAAATTGTTAAAAAAATAAATAATTTTCCTTTAATAGATTACCTTTCTGCAATGCAAAAAAAAGTAGTAGATAAAAATAGAAAAGGGGAAGTCAATGTGAAACCTAGACAAGATCACGAAAGACAAGGATATTTCTATGCCCCTCCTGGCTGGTGAAAGCAGCTCGGGAGGTGACGTGGTTGGATCCAGGCAAAGGTTAAGGCATCCTTGCAGGAGGGAGTGTTTCTAGCACCCTTTAAAGAGGCGTTGGTGCACCCCCTCCTCAAGAAGCCCTCCCTGGATCCTACT